CCTGCCCCACAGGGCTTTTGTGAGGATTAAATAAGCGAATGCGGGCACAGCTCAAAGATGGGGCCCTGCACAGAGTAAGCACCTAAAGATGTGAGCTATTTTCCGTTTCTGAGCTGAGGCCCCTCCTTTCACTAGAAGAATCACATACACTGGTGATAACTGTTCATTCCATCCATAGTCAAGAATATAGAATAAGAGGCCCTTTCTGAGTACTGAAGACCAACTTTCCATCTGTAACTGTGTCCAAGGGTCAAGGAATTATCTAATCTCTAAGGCTCTTCTGGGTAAAAAGTGTAATAGTTTCGCGATCTGGAATCACCGCACAGCACAGAAACCAAGAGCAGTGACTGAGTCTTATCCCCTGTGTCACTCCTTGCATCCAAAAGAAGCCCAAAGATGCACTGACCGACTGCTGAATTGGAGGTGGCACTGGCACCTCCCTCCCTTGAGCACCAGAAACGAAATGAAACTCTGCGACCTTGCTGTGCTTGCTGCACAACTGGGTTCAGGTTTTACTGTCCTCTTCTATCATTAGGATAGTAAGATAAAAGAGGTTCAACTCAGCCAGCATTGTCCATTCCAAGGGCGGAGAATGGCTCTTCAAGGATGCACAGCTAGGAAGGCCACAGTGCCTACCTTCGAGGAGCCCAGATGGTGTGGGAAGAGCAGTGTGAGAAGTGGCCTCGGTCCATTTAAACAAGAGCCATGGGAGCCCGAGGGAGGAGCGATTAACTGCACCTCAGGAAAATCAGACTTCGCTTCACGGAGGGGTGGCATGTAAATTGAGCTTTGAAGTGGATGGCTTATTAACTGTATTAATAATAATAATAATAATAAAGAGGGCTTTCCATGTGCTGGGCCTAGGAGCTACAAGGCAAATAAGACAGGATCCCCACCTCAAGGACTTTGTAGACTAGCGAAGGGCACGGACAGGTGAGCAGCTGGACAAGCAGCGTGTGATGTGTTCTGGGATGGGGGAGAGCATGGAGGGGTGCCTGCCCAGCAGGGGAGGGGAGGAAGTGGTGCCTGCAGGCTCCCCAGGAGAGCATCACCTGAGTGGTTGGCTGAGTCTCGATGGGCTGCAGAAATTGCCCAGGGAAGACAGGGAAAGACATGCAAGGCAGAGGCAGCTCCGTGTGCAAAGATATAGAAGGAGGAAAGAGAGCAGGAGTGTCAGGAAATAGCTCCTAACTCAGCCCAGTGGAGAGCAAGTGGGGCTGGAGGGCAGGGAGAGGCCAGCAGCAGGGGCCAAAGCGGGAGGTCTTTGCATGCCACACTGGGGTCTTGGCTTTGCCGCTGTAGGGCACAGGGAACCACTAAAGAGCTGTGAGTAGGGTGTGACATGTCCCAGGGTGGGGTCCAGTTGAAGCTGATCAAAGAAGCTAAGACTCTGGCCCCTGGGGTGGAGGAGGAGCAGAGGAGGAGAAGGAATCAGGGTGAGTCTTGAGTGCCTTTGCACCCGGGCCTCAGCCCTGGCCTTTTGCTGTGCCAGGTGGACAGCGTGAGTTGACACCTGTAGGCCTCCTTGCAGCTCAAGCTGCCCTTCCAGTGTCAAGGGAACACCTGCAGTAAGAGAGCGGCTTTGCAAAGCTGTGAATCGAGGCTCCAGATGGGCAATTATAGAAACCCTGGAGAATATCCAGAGAGATCCCTCATGAGACCAAGAAGTGGTCCATCTTTTCCACAGCCCCATCCTCCCACTCCATGTAAGCCCTGGGGCAGGGCTGGGAGCTTTATTCTTTTCTAGTCTCCTCCCCTCAGCATCAGACATGGGACCTTGTGTTCAGTAGGGCTTTGATAACCAACAAGGAAGACACTGCCTGCCTCATTTCTCAGAAAGCAGAGTGGCCTCAGCACTTCCCCACTCTCGGGAAGGTATGGTGAGCAGCAACCATCAACACTCAGCTTTCTAGCTTGGTTTAAAATGAGGGCCACTTTAGAACAAAATTGAATCACTGCCAGAAACTGACAGGAAGTCAAAATGACAATTCATGAAGATGTCAACAGTTTTTCTCCAGATTGGATGTGGGGCCTGGGCTCTGGTGCCAAACCTCCCGGGTTTGAATCCCAGTCTGCAACTCACTTGCTATGTGATCTTCGGCACCTGCTAAACTCGCTGAGCTTCTAGTTCTTCATATGTAATAAAGGGAAAATAACAGGACCTTCCTTATAGGGTTACTGTGAAGATGAAATGAGGTGAATGTCCATAAGCTCAACACTTGCTAATAAGTGCATTATTATTTTTATTTCTCTTTATGTATAGTTTTGATAGCCTAAGAGGATTTTGCATTCAGGGAACACTAAGAGAAGGAAGCGAAGAAGGAAAGGGTGTGCTGATGTTTAATAAGATGCCACGGAATCTCTTCATGTTGGAACAAAGGCACCTTTTGTTTCTAGAAGGGTCAAAATGTTTGTTCGACAATCTTGGACTACAGACAAAAGCAAAATCAATATCCTGGATGATTGACTCTATGGCCAAGTCCAGATGAATAATGCTATCAGGGACTTTGCACCAGACAGCCACAACTCGGTGCTCAGGCCCTGGCACGTCCTCAGCTGGACCCAAGGAGTTCCCACAGAGTCATAAACATAACCCCACACCAGGAACCTCCGAGATTCCCTCAGGCTCCATGAGAGAAAGAAACCAGGTCTCCAGAATCCACTCCTAGGATGGTTATTTAGAGAAAACTGCTGATGGTGCCTAAGCTTTTAATGAATATTTGTTTTTTTGACAAGCTAAACCAACTCATTGTGGGATTGTGGACAAGTCAATTCACCTTTCTAGGCTTCAGTTTTTTCATACGTAGAACCAGAGGACTAGACTAGATTTACATTGACTAGAACTAGGTATTAAGGTACTTTCCACCTTAGAAACTTTCTGATGTTTAATTCAGGTACCAAAAAAATCCAGATTGACCCTTCCCATTCACACAAAGCACCTCCCACCTACAGGACGAGATGGTGGACTGATCGGAGGGGAACCCACGGCGGAGGTTTGCCTCCACTGCGTGGTGCTTCTTAAGCCTTACATCCGAACCCTCGGAGCCAAAAAAGAGCAGGACCTGGAGAGCATTCGGGAAGGGACACCACACTCTACATGCCCAATAACTCACTCTACACGCAGTGTGTGTTGTCAACAATGGACGTGGTGGGGAAGCAGACCCTGGAACACATGCATGTGCTCTTGTTTGCAGAGAAGCACGATCCACAGCAGGTTGGGAAGGGCCCGCGTCACCCCTATATCTCAACATCCTTTAAAACGTACTAGCTTTATTTCTAAAAATTTTTCCCTGGAGGAAAGAAAGGAACATCTGTAACAAGGAAAAATAACAATAGTCATAATAATGAGAAAAGCAAAATAAGCACATGTAAGTGCATTTTTTTTTCTTAGAGATTTATTTTTGTTTGATGAATCTGACACCGGTCAGGGAGAGAGGAGGATGTCAGGAGCCCCGCAAGGAAATGAGCCCCCAGAGGAGGGGCTGCTGCTTCCTGCGCGGGGGATTTGGCGTTCGGGTGGGTTGGTTGGTTGGTTGGTTCAATTTGTTGCTGGAAGTTTTCCTTTTGTTTACTTTTATAAATCTCTCCCCGGGCTCGCGAGCTTCCCCTCCCTCCCACCTCCCTTCCCCTGCCCCCCAATTTCATTTTTAAAAAGCGAGCTCGCTCGCCAGGTGTGTCCCCCAAGCTCTCACAGCTCTAATAAATAAGGAGCACCTGTAAAACAGTAGCTTGACTTGTTAAGTGACTCTGTACAAAGGAGAATATAGAAATACAGTATGTACACCGCATCCACGGCCCCATGGGGCTCCAAGGCCGGCGCGACACCGTCCCAGCCTCGCCCGCCCACCACCCGCCACCCCTGCTGCCGGCTCAGCAGCCCTGTGGGCAGGGGCACCTGGACCCCTCCAGAGGGAACAATTGCTTTATTTGAGTTAGTAAACAGATACACTGAATCACAAGGTGATTTGATTTTTTTTTTAGTTTTCTTCTTTTTTTTGATTTTTTTCTTATTTTTTCTCTTTTTTTTTCTGTACTCATCAGAATGGGATACTCCACGACTGTCTCACCGACTCAGTGCCAGTACACATGCTCTAGAGGACTTCTGGACTCGCAGCTACAACTGTACAAGTGCACACAAGAAAATCTACCCTGTTATCCTCCACCCACTGACTGAGGATCGAATTGCACATTTCTCTTAACCATGACAGGAGAAAGCAAACAGTGAAACAGAATCATGGGTGATCTTTCTCACTTTCCCTTTTGTTTTCATTGGTTTGTCCATACCATTCTAATTATCATGAAAGGGCTCTGCTATAGAGAGATTGCTTCACTGACTTCCTGGATCACCGAAAACCATCAGGGTTGAAATTTCATCCAAGTCTTTCGTGACGCCCAGCAAATATCCCCTCTCAGATTATTTTACACCTTGAGGGCATTTTGGTCTTCAGTTCAACACTCTTGCTCTGTTCCCAAATGGGGCGCTATTTAGGGGAATTTAAAGAGAAAGCTGAGAAGAATAAACATTTACCGAGTTCTCTTGGCGTTCAGTCTCTGAAAAACCACAGTATAAACTATTCATGCTGCTTCTTACATCTGTCAAATCGAAAATTAAAAGCCATAAAAGTGTAACACTGAAAATATGGCATTAAAAAGGATAAAGGTGGCCTTTGTAAAAATAACAAGAAAAGTATATTAGCCAATAAAATATTCTAACTCTTCATTTAAAAGTGCATCCTGGGCAGGACAGAGATGAACCTGAAGTGTTGGGACTCCAGTGCGATCCCTCTCCGCCGTCAAAACGTGGACAGTCTAGGTCCAAAACCGTACAATGCAAATCACAATTCTTAGTGTAGCAGCAAAACCACAGCAGTTTTTAAAAAGATTAAAAAAAGATTTTTGTTTCCAAATCCGTATCATCTTCCAGCCTCACCCTCTGAGCCTTGAAGATGGAGCGGGGAGAATACCTACATTGGTCCTTGCGGCTTGTTGGTGTTATGTTCTTTTAAAACCAAGGGCAAAATCCCTAAGTTCCTCTGGGGAGAAGCAGAGATGGTGGCAGCAGGAAGGCTGGGCCTGCTTGGTGGGTCCAAGATGTGCTGGCTTCTCTGGGCTAGAGGCCACCGAGGGAGAGCTGCTTCCTCTGAGATGCTTAATGACAGGAAGCGGCTTTATTTTCTTGAGTTTTAGCCAGAGGGGGTGGTGAGCTGACCAGCTGGTGTCATTGGATGGCGGGACATGGTTTGCTCTGCGCCCTCTCTCCATGCAAGGTACCCTGTGAGTGAGCGTTCCTGGAAAAAGATGAGAAGGGGCCTGTGAGCATCTACTGGACCAAACCACCTCCCCCCCTCCCCCAAGCTGGGGAGAACCCAGGCATGAGTCAGAGCAAGACACTCTCCAGCCATCAGGTCAGACCTAAGATGAGTCCCTAGAACTAAGGCAGCACAGCATGATTTCAACATGACTTTCATTCACGGTTCTGCTCAGGGTACGCCCTGCCAGCTCTGCGCAAGGAAATGAAACTCGAGTCGCTTTTTGGAATACCATAATGAGCATGGCGCACCACGCCCTCACCCAAAGACCACAACAGCATCCTTTGCGACCTGGCAATTTTCACCCTCCACATTTATGCATGCTTAACTGGCAGGAGATCTTTTGAGTTGCCCAAGGTCACCCCAAAGCCAGACAAGCCTGGAGTTCTAGACCTCACCCCTGTATTCCACGCTCTGGTGTTTGCTGCAAAGGAAGAAAGCCAAGAGATTCACTTTTTAGCACAGGAAAAATTACCATGGACACATAGATCTCTCTTCCTATGGTTTCCTACGGAGGCAACTAAGCTGGCAGAAATGCCCCTTTCTAAGGGTCTTGCCTGACAAAAGTGAGCCATTCACATCTCTTCATATCCTAATCAAACAGTAGCACAGGACTGGAAGACAATAAACCAACCAGGCCTTGAGATCCTGGGGCAGAGGGTCTTATTCACCAGGAAAGTTCGTTTCTGGGGAATACCCACCCCAACTTTCACCACTGACATTAGGCTCTGCCTCTCCATCCCTACTGGCTTATTTCATTTGCTGCTAGTCCCTTGGTTTGAAATATAACCTCTTGAGGACACTCAGTCACTCCCAGTAAGCAGCCACTTAGAAGTCTGCCAACAAACTGTAAAGTCCCTGAGGTCTGGGGCTGTGTCTGTTTTGCTCTCTACACCCAGCTCCTAGTTCAGCTCGACACATATTTGTCAAATGAATGAGGGTCCTGCAGCTCTCGCTCCCCATGCCCCAAAATAGTACCTTTTTCTCCTGCCAATAAATGGGGATGTCAGAAATGTGAATGGGTAAAATTTGGCTAATGTGAGGTGGTGACAAAGGACTCATAAACATCTTTACAATGGTTGCGATTATTCCTAGAACAATGAACAAATAATTTCAGAGAGGTGATAGAATTCAGAACTTGAAAGGACCCCAGGATAATATACTACAAATTTCCTCATTTTATAGATGAAGAAATGGAGGCCACAAAGAGACCTGAAAACTTGCTCAGAGTGTCTGTAGCATGAATTTAGTACAAGGGTGAGGAGGTCAAAATGCCCACGGGGAGGACAAAGTCCAAGCTTGTGCTTTGAACCCGGCTATCCAAATCCTCGTGTTAATGGAACCAACATGATCAGCCAAAAACAAGGTTTGAAAATCTGAATGTGCATGACAGGAAATGCCTGAGTTCCCCAAATCACATTAAATCACCAGATCTGTGTGCATTTAATATGTATATTAAATAACCAAAGTGAAAATGCAAAACACCACAAATATGCAATGGGGGTGGAATTACAAGGCCATGGAAACCTTTTCATTTGGCATGGTCAGATTTGGAAATGTGGATATTTGTCTCTGAATAAAGAGCTCACTTTAACTTCTTTCTTTCTCTTTCTCTCTTTCTTTCTCTTTCTCTTTCTTTCTTTTTTCTTTCCTCCCTCCCTCCCTTCCTTCTTTCCTTCCTTTCTTTCTGGTTTTATTTTTTTTTGAGAATGAGAGACAATGGCGAGAGGGATGCAGAAACAAAAAGCCACCATAAAATGCGAGGTCACAAAGGACTGAGAAGGAGCCTTGGAAATGACAAATGGATCCAAACACACCAGCGTAGCTTCTTCCGGGGACGATTCTTTTCCGTTTAGCGAGCACAGCCTGAAACTTGCTGTGGAGGAAGGGAAACCGTCCCCACCTCTGGGCTTGGGATCAAGAGTGACCAAATCTTGTAGTCAGAGGGGGCCTGTAAATTCTTTCTTTCAAAAGGAAAAGGAAAAAAAAGTGCTTAACACTTTCCTCCAGTGACTGGGAACCACCACCATTTTGAATTACTTCCTTAAGAATGCTATAACTGCTTTTTCCATGATGTAGCTTTTTTCTTTCATGTAATCATGACCCCAAAAAGTGGAATATTTCTCAAATAAATTTCTTTATGTTCAAGTCACCTTTGGACAAAGGCCAAAATGGACAGCATCGACCTACTTGGAGAAAATTTCAAGGCTTTTCATAAGGGACTAGGAAAACGAGATTATAATGAGAGCCATTCTGGAACCTTAACTACAGCGTTTGCCATCCCAAACACTATAATAATCATTATTATTCACTGGTATCTATTATTGTCTGCTAAATAATATGTGTTTTCCCCCAAAGTTCTAAAGGATGCAGCTGTACCACACTCTCTTTTTTGCAGCCCCACTCCTGCTGCTCTGAAAGCGTCCTCACACCGAGCTTATTTTAAGAGAATGGCAAAGTAGACAATTTGTGCTGTTTCCTTCCCTCTCACCACACACTTGCCGTGTCTGGGACACCCACAAAGGCCAGATGGTGGCAGTACAAATCCCTTTCTCCCCATAACATTTGAGGAGGGGGTGGTCCTGAAGTCATCCTCATTTGTTCTTCTGGCTCTGACTAGCTCAGGGCAGCCCCCTTGTTGGCAGCCCCCTTGTTGGTGACACAGGAATAGACTCTGGAATCGATGAAAACGCAGACCCAAGCTTGGGCTTCACTTTCCTGATAGTTATTGGTATGCGAGGTACGAAACTCAAGAGTGGGGAGGAAGCAAGCTTGAGTTTTAGAAAGTGATCAGGACAGGAAGTTCCAGAGCGGAAGCCCATTCCTACTCTGCCCTTCACAAGCAGAGGGATCTTATGGAAAATCCGCCCTGTCTGTCTAAATTTCTTAATCTGAGCAAAGGGGAAATTACTACGGTAAGTAAGACAGAGATGTAAGTTACAGTCCAGTGTGACCCCTAACTAGCTGTGTGACCTTGGACCTATTCCTTAACCTCCCCAAGCCTTGATCCTTCCTGTGAAATGGGGGCCTGGGTGAGATTGTCTATTATATCTTCCATCTCTCACAATCTGTGATTGTAGGATCTTTGGACCAAAGCCAGTATCAAGTATGTAGATTATAAACTTGAGCAGCTGAATATTAATCTGTTCTCAGAGTATAAGGAAGACTATTAATTTCTGGGCCCCGAAGTCCAAAGTTGCAGAAAGAGTCTCCTTCTCTCTATTAATCACACACACGTGCACACACACGCGCACGAACTCACCACTGGCAGAGATTTTTGGAGTGTCCCTTAATGCAGGGGGTTCTGGGGAAGTGGCTCTACTTGTGCCTCACATTTGGGTTTTCTTCTGAATTGCGGTTTGTCTGAAAGCAGGACAACCCAGAGCCCTGTTACATGGCACATTACACGCACACAGCCCATCCTGTATAACCTGTATGTACAGTGTATGAAGACCAGCTCCACAGCGCACGGTCTCCAGCAGGCATGGACAGCCAGGTACCTTCAGAATTCCAAGCCCACCTGCCCCCTTTGGCCAGAGGAATGAAGTGTCTTCCTCATGGAATCATAACTGCACACCAAGTGCACTGAGAGAGCCTCCGTCCACCTGGCACTTTTCCTTTTCATCACAAAAGCATTGCTAAGAGTGTGACTGAGTTACTCATTCTCCTTTATTACGCAAGAATTTTCAGAGAATTATAGAGAACAAAAATGTGCCTGAGCACTAATAAATTCTTTCAGTGCTGATACTGTCAAAATATGGCCAGTCTCACCTTTTCTTCTTGGCCTTTACACACTAAGACTTACGCTGATTGCATTTAAAAGGAAATTTTATAATTCCCAGGCATCATTCCTCAAAGAAAATGTGTGTCCAGAGAAAATGTCTGTCTTATTCTACATCCCAACATTTCCAAGCTAGTCCCTCCATGGTGCAAGAGTCCACCTCTACCAGAAAGCCTGCTTCGATTAATCTAATCCATTTTCCAAACTTTCATTCCTCTTTCTTTCCTTAATTACTTTTGTCATTAGCATAATCAAAATCCTGTGGGTCTGTCCTGTCTTACCTGGTTAGAAGGCAACCTCTCTGTGTCTGTCGTTGTTATTCCCAGGAATCTAAAATCCTGTGGTGTCAACTCTATGATGTGCAAGAAATGCCTTTTGCCAAACTGACTTGCCTTTGTCCTATAACCCAGGTCCTACTAATGATGCCACTCACTTGGGCACGTGGGCCCATCACTTATCACGTTTAAATACAGCCATTACGTGCTGGCTTCGGCCACGCTGTTTATCTGGGACAATAACATGTCCCAGAGGACTGGACAGCTCTCAGGTAGCCACAGCTATTCTGGGACACTCACAAGGGTACAGCCCTGCAGTCAATGAACAGAGCCACCTGCGCCAGCTGATAAAGCCGGGTGTGATGCCAGATAGTGGTCTCCGCACCAAGCCCATCCCAGAAAGGACTACGCTTGGCAAGGTTTTGCCCAAAAAATGGTTCCCTCTCTCCTCAGTCAACTATTGCTTCATGAAGAGCTTTGAAATGGCATTTACTGAGATGGAAACAGTTTTCATTTATGAAGTGGATGGCATCTCTTTTCTTATAGCTCACTAATTGATGAACGTAATTAAAAAACATCACTTCTCCTTTTTAGTGTGATTGTCATGGGAAATAACTCGTGGTGAGGAGGGGGGTGTAGGGGGCCAAGGGTGAGCATCAGCTTAGCTCAGGGCTGGCTCTGGTCTGAATCGCAACTTCATCACCACTGAGCTGCTCACCCCTTGGGTTTGACAAGCTAAGGCTCATGTATATTTAAAAGAAAAAAATTAAACCAAACATAAGATCTTGCTTTTTAAAATATATATATATAATTTTCTTCTTTAGCAATATCTCTTATTCTACTCTTTAATCAATAAAAATCACAACCATACAAGACCCCCTACTGAGATAACTCCATCTTTAATTCTTTGTTTTACAAATTAA